CAGTCATGAGTTTCCATTTTATTGAGATGTATTCATTAAATGCAGCTTATAGTATACACTTTGTATTAAAACAAGTAAATCTTGTGTTTGGTAGCTTGAAATAGGCACTGGAAGCCTTCTGTATAAATCCAGTGCTTTCAGCATTGCCTCACTGCCCATTCCGCAGCACTTGCTGTTACGTGGCTACCAGAGCAACTTTCTTTTCCTGTAGACACGGGAGTTTCAGAGAAGACCTAAAACCACATTATTTTTTCCCTCCCACATATATGTATATAGTTCATAGCCAAGAAAACCCACTTTTGAAGTAATTTCTCTGGTTCAGAGATCGTAAGAAAAGAACATTACTAAGAGAGTTTTCTTCCTTTCTGACTACTAGTTGTGCGGTTTGAAAGTAGAAGTGGATATGGAAAAAATTGCCGCTGAAATTGCACAGGCAGAGGAACAGGCTCGAAAAAGGCAGGAGGAAAGAGAGAAAGAAGCCGCAGAGCAAGCTGAACGCAGTCAGAGCAGCATGGTTCCTGAGGAAGAGCAAGCTGCTAGTAAGAGTGAGGAGAAGAAGGACGAGAGCATCCCGATGGAGACAGGTACCCTGCCTGTTCACCGCACAGTCAGCGTCAGCGGCGAGTCTCTGTATGATCTACACGTTTCCTTCCAAATCCCAGCCTCTGTAGTAGATTCACATAAAATGTTGATGTCCATACAAAACAGCAGTGGGGCATTGGTCTTCGTGGCTATTTGAGGTCTTGGTTATTTGTCCGATTGAGTCATGTCATTTTCCAGGTTAGGCATATAAAGTATAATGATAGGAATGGTTGAGGATACTGGCCCTGGAGTCAGACAGATCTGGCTCTAATACTCTTTCACCACTTGCTAGCATATGACTGCATAAATTACTTAATCTGTTTCCTCACTTGTAGATACTCTAGTACCGGCCTCTGAGAGTGAGTTCCGGAGGACAAATAAGGAAATGTACATAAAATCACTTAGTATTGGTTTTAACATGGTTTTGGCACTCAAGTGTTTTAACCTTTATTGCTAAAATGTAGTATGTGGTTGTTGCTTTTAGGATCAAGCATCTCTGGTGTCCTAGGACAGGGTTGGGCAAGTAAAACCTGCAGGCCAAATCCTGTCCTGCCACCTGTTTTTGTAAATAAAGTTTTGTTGGAACACAGCCTTACCTGTGTGTTGACGTATTATCTGTGGCTGCTTTGGGGCTACCACAGTATAGTTGAGTCGTTGCAGAGACGCCACAAAACCCAAAATATTTACTATGTAGTCTTTATGGAAAAGGTTTGTTGACCCTATCCAAGAGAAGTTCTTATTTCCAAGCATACTGGTTTTCCCAATTAAAAGCATTCCTCAAGGCACAGAGTAACATGTAAAACTTTCATAAAATACCGATTAAATTGATTACTTGAAATTTTGAGATCACCTCACCTTCTGGCGCTATTTTGACCCTGCCCAGTGCCCTATGTAAACAGGAGTAAGTTAAAAGTGTTACAGGAAATATAGCCAAAGGCTCCCTGGACCATCACTGCAAGAAGGGGGAGGGACAGTAGTTGTACTTGCCATTCAACTGACAACTTCTGATTTGACATCAGGAAAACATTTAATTGAATATAGATTGCTTTACCAGATGTTACTACAAAATTTAATTCAGCAGATTAGCATTTCAGATAGTCAGATTTTAAGTTGCGTTATCTGACCCTTTTTCTGTTTTGTGTGAACATATTTTTTATCTTAACAAATTTGGAGCATGAGTACATTTTTGTGGTTAAAGGAGGAGCTTAAGAATTAGGGTATGGAGTATGATTCTTTGCTCATTTTGCAACTAGACAGAACACTCTGTCCTTTGCCTCTGTTCTCTCATTTATAAGTAGAGCATGCCTATGGGTCTTTACTCAGATTTTATCCATTTAGCTGAAGTTGAAAAAACAAAATTGAGACTGTTAGAGCGAAAACCTCATGCTCTTATTAATTTCTTACAGAAAACAGCCCAGCATGACATTTAACAAAGTACCTAAAATATCGCCCTCATATCATTTCCATACCTGCTTTCTCACTAATTAAATCCAAAGCACAGAACAGCATTGTCCAATAGAAATAAAATGTAAGTCACTGTGTAATTGTAAATTTTCTAACATTTTTTAAGTAAAGCAGAACAAAGGATTACTAACATTTATTTATTTAACCCAGTATATCTTAATATCTCAACATGTAATCAGCATTTTTAAGTATTAATTTTTTACATTTTTTTCATACTAAGTCTTCAAAATCTGCTGTGTGTTTTATACCTGTAGCACATCTAAATTTAGAAGCTAAATTTTCATCAGAAATACTTGATCTGTATTTAGCTTTTGTAAATTTACAGCTAAGAAGTAGATCTTCAGACCAATTCATGAATTGTTTCCAAGGTGCTAACAGTTCCTCAGTCACGCTGGCTCGTCCCAGTGCTTAATGTCACCCGTGGTGCATGGGCTGTTGTGAGGGACAGCATGGCTCGAGACAGTCAGCATAATTAGAATAAACTTGTGAACTTGTGTCTTGGAACTGACAGTGACACATGTGTGATTACAGAGGAGACACACCTTGAAGAAGCGACAGAAAGCCAACAGAATGGTGAAGAAGGCACGTCTACTCCTGAGGACAAGGAGAGCGGGCAGGAGGGGGTGGACAGTATGGCTGAGGAGGGGACCAGTGACAGTAACACCGGCTCCGAGAGCAACAGTGCCACAGTGGAGGAGCCACCCACAGACCCCACACCAGAAGACGAGAAGAAAGAATAAATGTTGCCTTGTTTTATGTGTTCTAAATACTTTTTTAAATGAAAAAAAAAAACTGTTTTTTGAGTTTTAATGGTGTTATGTGGTTTGTGTATTAGTATCTTTCTTGTCCATATCGCACCACCAAAGGCTTTTGGACCATTTAGCATCACAAGCCAAATGGCACAGTCCCCTTTCCTAAGCCTTTGTGAAGATGTTCTTTTCTTTGGGTCTTATTCCTAGCCCTCAACTCCTGAAAGCCTCAGAATTTAAATTAATTGAGAAAACGCCCACCTCTTTTAGAGAGTTATCCTTTGATGCTGCACAATTTACTCTTACAAATGCCTTCCTACAGCTCACTGGGGTGCTTACCAAAGCCATAGCTTTAAACCTCCCAGTCCCCATCAACAGCTTCCCGAAAGTCCCCTTTCCTGTATACTTTCACAAAGAGTAGTTTCTTGAAAACGTAATCATGTATGAGTATGTATTTGTTCATTTGCCCTTTTTTATTTTTAATCAGTGTCGGATACCAAGAGTTGTGTTAAGGACTGACTACAACTAAGCTTGGATCGTATTGATCCAGAAATAGTCTCCATTGTTCGAGTGGTTACCAGCTTATGAAGTAGTCATTAAAATGAACGTGGCACATACACATTACGTATACTGCTTTTTGTTGTAATTCATATTGGGTGTGTTCTGATAAATTCATCCTTACTGTACAGAAAAAGTTACTTTTTTACCAAGTTTTCCAAAGACAGAATAGGTCACAAAGCTTAAGGAATTGAATATTCTTGCAGTGGACTAGACAACTTCAAAACGATGAGCCCATTCCGGGAGGAAAACAGCTAGGAATTCAGTTCGTCCATGTGAAATTGTTCTACAATAATCAAAACTCAAAACCTCAAGGCTCAGGATCCCATAGATCAGAGCCTACCTTTTTGATAAACTCTTAGTAAAGTCTTGGAGACTAGAAGCAAGAAAGTTTGTGACACGTATGCTTCCCAAAAACTAGAATAGATTTTTATTGAATAGTGGTATATCTGATGGTATATGTTTCTTAAAGGTCCAAATGTAATAAATAAGTGGAAAAAAGTGTCTGTGTTTTTATCACTATTTTTATGCAAAGCAAGTGTATCCTTTCGTTACTGTAATGCAGTGACAGCAGGGAGTGGGGCCCCACAGCCATTACAAACGCGTCCTCAGGGCCCTTGGCTCACCCAGCAACGTCTGTAAACTACGGTATTAAGTTCATTTGTACAAGAGGTTTGTGAAAATCAGTTTCCTTATAGTCATGTCACATGTAAAGGTTGGCCTTTGACTCCAAAAGTAAAAGGAAATATGTTTCTACATTTAAATTACCTTTGAAAAAGTGGGTAAATAAACCTAAGTCCTCCGCTTACATGCAGAAAACTTCACACGGGCATGACTTAATTTACAGTGACTTTTTTATGATTCACTGCTGTTGAACTTGAGCTGACAGCACACAGTGACTATGGCTGACTGCACTTGTGCAGACCCCTGAAAATGAGAGGAGGAAAGGAAGCTTGAGACTGGGTGGAAACAACCCTCCATCTCTGTTTTTCTAAACAGCACATGGGATCTTTCTCCTGTTTGTGAGTTGAACTAACCGTTCAGTTTCTAGGTGTCGGACGCTGTAGGGCTAAGAACTTTCACCAGCTGCCCAACGAATCGGATAGCTTCGTTGGTGCATTCCCTCTGTCAAAACGGGGCGGAGAAGTGGTTAAATACAAGTGTGGAAAGAGTACAGAGCAAGACCGGGTCATTTACCGCGGTATTGAAGTCCCTAAGATGATGGAAGTGGCACCTTTGCCAGTTTGGAGAGGGCACTAGAAAACAAGCACATCTCTGCTCAGCCTGCCCACAGCATGCTAGGGCAATTGGCTGGAGAATGAATTTAATCAGATATGATTTGACCGCTTTTAACCGCAGGGCAGGGAAGATTGAATTAAAATTCCCCCGTGTCAGAGTGATCTGTTGCAGAAATCACCAACGTTGGAGGTGTTTCTTAGTTTCTTTGAGAATGTGGGATATAATTGAGGTCTTTGATTTTTTTTTTCTTTCCATATCCCCATAGGCATTGGGCAAGTCACTTAAACTCGGAGCCTGTTTCAACTGTAAAATAGATGGACCTGCTTTGCCTCAGTGCCCTTACTGCTCCAAAAAGCCATGATTTTTAATGCATTTATTTTGAGTATGAATGCAAAGAATTTAAGGGTTTATATTTTCATGAATTTTTAACAAAAAAAAAAACGGGAGGGGGAAATCTCCCACAGTCCCCTGGTTTTCTCACAAAGAGTTTCAAATTTCCTATCTTTCACTGTCAAGCATGAATTTTTAAAAGGCTCTGCTGTAGTACATGAATATTATTCTGAAAAACAGAACTTGGAGAGAAACTTAGGAGCTTTTAACACGGTATGAATGTCCTATGGAAAAGATAAAACACTCAGTTCGGTATATTTGAAAAGAGAATCTGACATTTAACTAAGTCGCTCTACATTTTTTAGTTTTTGTCCTTCACATTTAGATACCAGTTTGGGGTTTCAGACAGTTGGTGCTGACAGTGTGAAACTCACTGCTTGCAGTTAAATTGAAGCTTTGGTTTCTCATGTGAACAGACAAGGAAGCTGGGATTATTCTTTGTTAAATCCTCATTTCATGAATAGATCTCTACCCCCAAGCACTACCACACACGGGCTCCCCACCTGGTTTCAGCGTGCGCAGGAGTTGTATCTTGTTTCTCACCACTGGGCAAACCTTGCTGGAACAATTGGCTTCTTAATGGTTTGCACACTAGAGGGCTTAACGTCTTTGCAAATGAAAAATCTGCTGTGCAATAACAAGTCAAAAGGAACTTGGAGCCTTTTTAGAAGAAATCATGCTGAATTATAATTTGGCTTACTGTGATAATGTTTCTTTGATCAGTATGTGAAGGAAAATTCTGAGTTTAGTAGAAAATGATATCCAAATGTATTGGAAATTATAAAACTGTTCATAAATATCTTTAGTATTAGTTTGAACTATATGAAATTGCCAGTGTACGTTTTTGTCTACAAAATGACAAGTTCACCTGGTTCAACCTAATAATTCTGCATTTTAGAGTCCAAGTGTAAGCTCTTAATAGCAGCTTTCTGAGGATGGAACTTTTGATTTACCAGACTGATCTACATACCTCTCTAATAATTACAGCATATTGTTAAACAAAGCCCTGATTAAAATGCAAATCTCAAACTATCAAGTATTTAACCACCTGATTTTGAAAATACATTGCAGGAAATAGTTAAACCAGTGGGCTTATGTTCACATGTTTTCTCATTTAGCACCAAAAAGGTTCTTATAATTTTTTTGCATACTTTTTATTTTTTCATTTTATTTTTTTAAGATATTATTTATTTGACAGAGAGAGAGAAAGTACAAATGGGAAGCAGCAGGCAGAGGGAGAGGGAGAAGCAGGCTCTCTGCTGAGCAGGGAGCCCGATGTGGGACTCGATCCCAGGACCCCGGGATCATGACCCGAGCCGAAGGCAGACACTTAACGTTCTGAGCCACCCAGGTGCCCCTGCATAATTTTTTTAATCAAAAAAGTGTTGTGTGTGGAAAGGAAATTCCCAAATGATTTAATTGCTTTTTCCATAAAACTGAGACAATTGAAGATAATGGTTTCCTATGATAAGCCATTTGAAAGGAAAGAAAGGCTACCTCAGATTCCTTGACACCCAAGAGCGGCAAAGACCTTAGGTCCCATCCGGTCCTTGGATAGAGAGCATCCCCTTCCCCATGTCCCCTAGGGTTGTCACTTGCTGCTATCATAAACACCTCTAGGCTTGGGGAGCCCATCCTCTCTGAAGACAGCTCATTCCTTGTTTAGTTGAAGTATTTCTCCTCATTGAGCTAAAATCTGCCTTCCTGTCAACCCCCTGGTCCTGCTTCTATACCTTGAAATCAAATAGAATAAATGTAATCCTCTCCCAAATAAAAGACCTTCAAACATCTAAAAATCTAAAATAAGAAATGTTGTTCTTTGATGACCTTAAGGTCCTGTCCAGCAGAAAATGTTTATAACTATAGTATGGATGCAAACTCCATAAAGTGAGTGTTGATTAATAGTTTCATATGGAGCAAAATGGGGAGCAAGTGGGTTCAATTCACTAACACAGTATTTCTCAAAACTCAGTCATTTGCATGCATTGCCACGATTTCTACTATTTCTGGGTACCACCTGTACTATTACTACTTAACAGCTTTCTGTAAATCAACTTACTTATTCCACTTGAATCATTCATTTTAAAAGGAAACTTGATATCAGCATAAATGTGAAACAATGGTCTTTTGTCATAAAAAGAAAATACTCTTTTTTTAAAAAAGATTTTATTTATTTATTTGAGATAGAGAGAGCATGGCAGGGAAGGCGGGCAGTGGGAGAGGGAGAAGCAGGCTCCGCACTGAGCATGGAGCCTGACTCGGGGCTCCATCCCAGTACCCTGGGATCATGACCTGAGCTGAAGGCAGATGCTTAACTGGCTGAGCCACCCAGGTGCCCCAAAAAGAAAAGACTCTTAAATACAGATATCTTACTGGTGATGTTTATACTTAAATAGGTACAATTCTAAAGAATGGTATTTAGAAGATCTGCACATCATCCAAAATCATCTGAAGGATCCCACAGAGTAGTCTGGATAAAGGTCTTTGGGGAAAGCTGCAATAAAAGAAAAGTCTATTTCCTGCTACCTGGAGGTTCAGGAACCTTGTCTTCTTAGAAACAATCCCTGAGTCAACAGCAATTTGTAACTCAAGGACAAATTAGTGAAAGCTGACCTGTGATCACCTCATATTAAAAGCCAACATTTTTGAGCACTTACTATATGCCCATGTGCTTTTCATACCTTTGAGTCTTATTTCTAATTTCCTAAAGTTAATATTAGAGTAGATCACTTTACCAATATAATCTGTATTTATAATCTTGGGCTGAAGTTAACCCTTACAAACCACTTTTTTGGAGAAAAAAAAATAGGCTCAGTCTATAGCCCAAGGTACTAAGATGATATAGAGATTACATATGTGTCCTAGGATTTCATCACTGT